TATACATTTTTCATAATACTCTTTAATACTACACAGTATATCACCTTGATCCGTTATAATCTCATCATTTCCCCTTTTAATTTATTAGTTGATTTTTTTACCTGTCTTTGTTTTTCTAAACCTAAAAAATATTTTTTATTTCCCCCCCCCCCCCCCCCCCCCCCCCCCCCCCCCCAAATTCAACCTATTTCTCTCGTGATCTGATTGAAGACCCTTTAGCATTTTGTTCGTAAATTTTGGTAAATCATTTTCAAGTTCTTCAATATCCTTATCTAAAATGTTATTCTCAGATTCTTGCTCATCTCTAATTTTTTTTCAAGAGATCGTAAATTTTCTCTTGTAAATTTTGCTTTAGTTTTTCAATAAGCTATAGTTGCCTCCCTTACCTTTATTTCAAATACATCCCATGCCAAACAAAGGTTTTTAAATTACGATTACTTGTAAAGCAGCTATCTATTTCTTACCTATTATGTCTGTTTGTTTTGTTCACACATCGTTGTCAATATAATGGAATTGTATGCGACTGTCATACAAGTGAGATGTTTAGCTAGCTATAAAACCAGGTTTAATCCATCATTTTCTACACAAGAAAATGCCTGTACCAAGTCAGGAGTATGACAGTTGTTATCCATTCGTTTGATGTGTTTGAGCTTCTAATTTAGCCATTTGCTTATAGGGACTTTCCGTTTAGAATTTTCCTCGGAGTTCGGTATTTTTGTTATTTTACTTGTTTCTTTTTTAACTAATTGTATGTAGTTATTATCTTCTAATATAGCACTATTTATTTTCCAGTACCCCCCTTCCCTTTTCTGATGGACCAGTTCTTAATTTCATAAAAACACCTTGGTGATCAGTAGAATCAATTATTGCAGGTTTAATAACTTTCTACTAGTGGTATGAAGTTTGAACCTATCAGATTCACACCAATCCTACTTGCCTGTGATTTATATTTTCTTCGCCAAGTATATTGTTGTTTATTTTTATTTAAATATCTCCAAATGTCAGTTAAGTTATTAATTTGTATTAAAGATTTTAAACTATTTACTGGATGGACATTTTTTATTAGTTTTACAATTAGTTGCATACATTAGTGTAAAAAACACTTTCATCAATTTCTACATTAAGTAAAACTAATCGTCCTTCTACATCGTTATGTTAATTTATCAACTTATAATTCAGTCACTTTTTAATGAGAATAGCCACGACCCTACAAGAGGTTGTTCCGTCAGACATTTAAGTACTCTGTCTCTTTCAGCTTTATTTTTAGTACCATTTACATTTAAACTACTAAGTTTATCAAATAGGTTAGCTGCCATTTCAAAGTATAATTTCATATTTTTGCAATAGTTCCTCATTTATCTGTCCATGTCTACAAACCGTACCACGGAAGGTATAGTGTCCGGCGGAGATCGTGTTTTTTCGAGTGATAAAACATGCGATCAGGTAAATTAACTGCTATTTCGCAATTAAAATAGTTGTATTCATGAGTCCATCTTATTTTGACTACTATACACGTTTTGAGCACAAAAAACGCACAATTTCGTTGTATTTAACCTAAAATTCAGTGTTTTGCATTGTCCGTGTTTTTTTCGAGAGCAACAGTTAAAACGTCCGGGTTTTTTAACAAATGGTCCGGGTTTTTTGAAGAAAATGTGAATAAGAAATAAGGCATTCTTGACATTTGAAAATTTCTTTTTCTATTTTATAACTGTAATTAAGTGAAGGACAATATTATATTTCCCTATAATTCACAGAAAAAAAAAATATTACAATGTTGATAAAATTTAACCTTTTTCAATTTAATGATATCTTTCTGTTCTGAAAACATTTTACCATAACCTAGCAGTATGACGATATATAAGAAATCAATGGGTCCGTTTTAAAACGGTCTTAAGAACCCAGTACAGGGACTCATATTTTTTTTGTATTTCATTGCATGCTACCTTTGTTTTTACAGTCAATAATATTTTATGATTGATATATATAACAGTGACGAAAAAACATAGGAGCAAGAAAACTAAGTAAAAGGAATAAACAATAAGACAAATTCAATATAAACCCAAATATTGTACTAAAAGAAGACCCCCCACCCCCCAAATAAAAAGTGATAAATTACAATAACATTTGAATTGAATGGAATATCTAATAAAAAATGAAAACAACACTTTACAATTTTATGCTATATGACTCAAAGGACCTAAAAAAATAACCAAATCCATCAAGGTCAACTCTGCCTGATGAAGTTGAAACCTTAGCCTCTTTGTGATTTTAGATTTATAAATGGATAATTCGAAATGATTCATTGTTGGTTGCTTAACGTCCAGTGGCAAATGTGTCGTGCATGTTCAGGACGAGAACAAATTAACAATAGATCCAAAAAGTAGGTCCTGTAACAGAACCTACGGACCCTTCAAAGAGCTGTTGCAAGGGTTCTCAATGTGCAATGAGCGTAGCACTTTCTCTACACGCCCCATTGTGACCGGACGTGACGTGGCTGCGTTCTTGAACATCCCACACAGTCAAACGGACGTCTCACTTTGGCAAGAGTCGGTTGAAAGAGGACTTAAGTTACCATATTTCTCTTTCCCTGTCCCCCTTGGAGGTAAAATATTTTTTAGAAAGGTCTGTTATAAATCATGTCAATACCGAAGTACTGACTACTGAGCTGGTGATAAACTCGGGGACTTGTCCAATGTATTCAATAAACAACGAAATAAATAATCTGTAAGCTTTAATACGATCCTTTTGGTTTAATAATAAAAAAAGAATAAATGTGTATATGTATGCGTTCACCTCACAAATATACATTGTCCATTTTTCAGCTATGGTGGTGCTTTATTACTGTGTGACCGAGCATAGCATACGCTTGATCAGACTCCTCTTCACAGTAGGAGCAATTGAACATTGATCTTGATTTCCATTTCTAGAACGATCAAACATTATATCTTATGAAGCAAACATCTTGCACTCGGATTGGTTAATTACCCGGGTGTAAATAACACCCCACCTTAGTTCACAAGGAGGTAAAAAAAATATTCCAAAATTTCCAAAAAATAAAATGTTTGCCAAAATTATGAAAATTAGAATTTTGGAAAAAAAATAATAAGAAAAAAATAATTTCAGATTAAAAAAAATATTTTTTTTGAAATATTTTGCAAAAAAAAAAAAAAAAAAATTCAAGTGAAGAAAAAATATATTTCTCCAATATTCCCCAGATAATAAATTTTTCAAATTTTCCACAATAAAAAAAAAATGAAATAGATAATATTTGAAAAATGCATAGCAACGTCGGTGTTCAAAAATGTGTAGTTAGAGTTGGTCATAATATTTTTTTTCAATTTTATTCCCGGGAATAAAAAAAGTTAAAGAACGCTAAATTAGAAATAAATTCGTGCAGTTAGGGGTGTACGGAATTTTACGCCGGTGTTGAAAATGCATACGACCTTAGGCTGCGCCTCACGGTGCATATATTTTCAAACCGGTGTAAAATTCTGTACACTCCTGATAACACAAAGATAGCAAATAATTCCATCAAGACAAATAGTAAATGAAACATTAAGAATATATTTTCTGTAAAAAAACAAATTTACCCGCTTTACACACTATGTTTACGTACGTCTCAGTCCAACATGTCTGAGCTCACATAAAGATTGTTTACATCATTAAATATTTACTGTATGAAATCCATATCGGTACCCTTATATGAAGATTTCTGAATGCAAATAAAGGATGACTTTTTATGAAATGTACGTCTTAATATAGCATTATCAAACTGGTTTAATGCATTGTTTCGTGCTTTGAAAAGTACTTTATATGAACCGAACCTTTTCATTGTTTTTTAAACGTAAACGCACTGGCATAATTCATTTTAAGCCGTAGGAATTTAGTTTTTTCACTCGATAAAACAAGGACACACTCGAAAAAACACGGACTGCTCTCGAAAAAAACACAGACATTTAAAATGGTTTTACTCTCCAAAATGTCCTTTTCAATGCAAAAGCAAGATTTTGTGTATAGTGTCTGTATACCCAAGCATACATAGTTTCTATTTACACATTTCCGTAGACATTTGCATTGGTATGTGTATAATAATGGCTTTAATCGATATTTTGGAATAAAGCATTGTAAGGCTATAATAAACGTTACTATGATTTTGTATATAAGGTTCTAGCATATTTTGTCACTGTTTACAAGAAAGGAAGTCTATTTATTTACATTTTTGATCATATCCACTCGAAATAAAAGTGGTCACACTCGAAAAACCACGATCCCAGCCGGACACTATACCTACCGTGAGTACAGTTAAAAATGATTTTATAACAATCATAAAGAAATCGACAATGTACATACCTCTACAAACATAAAAAGTACAATTTATCATGCTACATATATTAACGGGTGACCAATAAAACACACTACCTGTGAATACGGCATTTAAGTATAGGTAAGACGTTTGCAATATTCAAAATGTTTTTTTTTTATAATTCTATTCTCTTTCATCTTTAATCTGTAGGCTGTTTTCCTGTGGAAAATGCCTCATGGGGATTGTATAACTTCATCAGTGTAGTTATTTTGAGTTCACTTTCATAATTAATCTACAATGAAAAGTCATTCATGTATAGCATTTCATATTGCCTTCGGAAAGCCATGTACTATGAAAATTAGAAGGAAAAAACTGATTTTCCATTGAACGAGAAGGGGTGAGTATGTTCTAATTTACTGGCTTTATTTGACCTTGTTATGTCTAAATCACGTTGTAGTTGTAGTTCAGTGTTTCTGTTGATCCGTTGTTTTCCTCTTATAGTTGATGTGGTTCCCTCGATTTTAGTTTGTTACCCGGATTTGTTTTTGCTTAATCGAAAATTGACTATTGCACAGCGGTATTCGACTGTTGCCTTTATTTGTTCATTTCTGTCTTCCATTGTTTACTCGAGTGGATACATGTTTCTTATTCACATAATGTGTGCATATAATCTTATCTAAATAAGCGGAATGCAGAATGTAAACATATTTAAGAAAATAATGTATGTGAAATTCACCTTTTTTCAAATCTCCTGTGACTGTTTTGTTAGCGATATTTACTAAAGAAGTAAAACGTCTGGAAGAAATAAATATCTTGGATATCTGTAATCTGAACTGTAAAGGAATATCCGATAGTGCATTTCGTGGATTTATTACATGTACCATATTCAAATATGTATCAAGAATAGATATTGGTATACTAGAAATACAGCATGAATGTATACGCTGAAAGTAAGATAAGTATTTATACATTTTAAACGGTGAAAACTTGTATATACTTGTATACAGTATTTTACTTAATATCAACAATTCACTATTAATAGTACACGACATTTGTAAAATTGCGCTTAAATATAGCACAGGTAAAAACCAACATAATAGGAATATGTTAAACATATAGATGATATAAGCTGCTTTGAATTTTTCAGCGATTGACCTATATAGATATAAGAAGATGTGGTATGAGTGCCAATGAGACAACTCCATCCAAGTCACAATTTGTGTATATTTACTATAGTAAACACAATCATTGTTAATAATGTTAAAGCTATAATGCACATTATGCATACACACATTTCATGAGATTGTTGTTATTCATAATTACAAATATAATACATTGATCGATTGAAAAGTACTTTTGTTTGATTAATGTCTTCGTTGTATATATATGTACTTTCATAAATAACTATGCTATTATAAAGAACATACAAAGAAATATCATTTGTAGATCTTTCCAGATAGCAAAATAGTTATGCTTAAATAAAGTCAACAGTAGTATACCGTTGTTCAAAAGTCACAAATCGATTAAGAGAAAACAAATCCGGGATATAACATTTGTGATAGTAAATTGAAACTTAGAATAGTTAGCAATATACTTCTTTTTGACATTGAAATCTCACACTTTATATTAATATCTTATCTTTTATTTGAAGTACATTTTTATAAAAAGCAAACTATTATATGTTAAATGAATAATTTGAATTTTCAGACGTTGTGTAAGGCATTTGGATCAAAACTTGTAGAGATAGAATCACAAAAAGAGGATAATTTCATCCAGACGACATTAAAACATAAACACACACACACGGTAATCACTTAATCTAATTAAAATTGGATTTCGCATTGAACATATAATCTAAATAAGACCGTTTTATATCTCTTTTTACAATGTTTTACGTCTTTAGACGATACATTCGTTTGACGTACTAAATCATAGGCGTGGCGTCTTTAATTATTCTTTTAAATCGCTATATCTTATTTACTGCTGGTTGACGTTTTGTCCACGAGAGTATCACTAGCCTAGTAGTCAGCAGTTATGTGCTTGCTTGAATTATCAATCATACATAAATTCCTGTAAATTTGTTTTTAAAATGTTTAGATTATTCGAAACACTGTTTTTTTCTGCCCATCAGTCTAGATAGCCTTAGCCATATATGGCATAATGCTTTGGTATTTTTAGTTCTCAATGCTTTTTAATTTTGTTTTTGAGTAAGCAATCCAACTGTTTTGATTCGAGCACTATCTGATGCAGATGAAACGTGCGTCTGGAGTTCTAAATTATAAACTTTATACTTTTCGTGTATTTATAACCATTGGGTCGATTTCACTGTCGGCGGACGTTTCATTCCGATGTTTCACCAGCTCAGTAGTCAGCACTTGGTGCTCGCATGAAACATCACTGATAGTCATTATCCGTAATTTTTCTGTTTATAAAATGTTTCGATTATTCGAAACAATAAGATTTTTCTACCTTGAGAAAACTAACGGCATAATTCATAAAAAAAACAATTTACGAAAAACAAATATGACAGACATGCATTAACAACAACCACAGAACTACAGGCTCCTGACATCGGGTGGGCACATAAAGAATGTGGCGGTGTTAATAGAAATAAGAAGATGTGGTATGAGTGCCAATGAGACAACGCTACATTCAAGTCACAATGTGTAAAACGTAAACAATTATAGGTCAAAGTACGGCCTTCAATACGGAGCCTTTACTCACACCGAACAGCAAGCTATAAAGGGCCTCAAAATGACTTGTGTAAAACAATTCCAACAGGAAAACCAACGGTGTAATCTATATAAAAACGAGAAACACTTAAGAACCATATCAACAAACGACAACCACTGAAACAGGTTCCTGACTTAGGACAGGTGCAAACAAATGCAGTGGGTTAAAACGTTATAATAGGCACCAACCTTCATCCTAACCTGAAATAGTAGTATAACATTACAACATAGAAAGACATACTATGAAATATCAATTGAAATGGCTTAACTCAATAAAAAAACATATTAACAAAAACAAGTAAACATACACTGAACGAATAAATTTGATCTATGACACAATGTCAAAAAGACAAGTATAACAGCTTAATCTAAATATAATAATTTTGTTGTTAGGAGTACGGAGATATTTTTTTACAAAACAAATAAATTTGTTGTTCATAGTACGAGAACGGCAGTGAAAATTATCGTCATACTAAATACTTATCAAAGGTGGTACATGTTAAAAATAGTGAAACAAGATATAGCACAAAATAATTAAACATTGAACAACAAAAATGCATTACAAATTGTGTAACAAGTCAAATTAACACGAAAGTACGACTTGAGAATACTCGCAGTTACTGAAAGCTAGTTAAAAGCCAAAAACAATTAATAATAAAAAATCATGCATCAGAGACTTTACATGTTTGCTGGCGCCCAACCCCCCCTTTTACCTGGGAAAGTGGTGTAACAGCGCAACATAAAAAACTGTAAACATCAGTTAAATGCCCACAAACACAAAATGTCAAACATAAGGTAACAGAAAAAAAATGACAACCTAATTAATGTGTTCTGATTTTTTCAGAAATTTGTATACAGTGCGAGTATTATTTCACCCCTTATTTTGAATATCTAGAACTTGATATCTTATTAAAAAGAGTAACGGAGTAGCGGTACCAATGTTACTGCACCTAAAACAAAGTTCGACAATTAAAGTCTCTTAAGTGATGCTAAAAGTCAAAACATTTTTAAATTACTAAGCAAATACAAATAACTTGAATAGCCGATCATAACAAAAAGGACGTATAGCAAGTATAACAAAATCAGATGTGATTGAAAATGTAATTTTTCAGTCATGTGTGTGTAAATTCTTGTCCCCCACATTTAAACTGATTAATCTGATAGATACAGTAATATAAATGTAGTTTCAGTTGTGATTGTCAGTGTTATCTTTTGGCTATGTGTTTGTAGATTCTGGTCCCCCACATGGAAATTGATAAATATGATAGATACAGTAATATTAATATAGTTTCAGCTGTGATTGTCAGTGTAATCGTTTTGTCATGTGTTTGTAGATTCTCGTCCCCCTTCATAGAAACTGATAAATCTGAAAGATACAGTAATATTAATGTAGTTTCAGATGTGATTGTCAGTGTAATCTTTTAGCCATGTATTTATAGATTCTCGTCCCCCACATGGAAACTGATAAATCTAATAGATACAGTAATAGTAATGTAGTTTCAGATGTGATTTTCAGTGTAATCGTTTAGTCATGTATTTATAGATTCTCGTCCCCTTCTTGGAAACTGATAAATCTGATAGATACTGTAATATTAATTTAGTTTCAGATGTGATTGTCAGTGTAATCTTTTAGTCATGTAATTGTATATTCTGAAGAGAGGGCTAACATAGGCTTGGCCTGTTGTTCAATCTTATTCAAATTATTTGAACAAAATATTGTTCAAAGTAATTAAACTTGTTTATTCTGCTCCCTCATATGAAAACTGGATAGATCTTATAGATACAGCACTGTTTCTATAGTTAAAGATGTGATTGATTATGTACTCTTTTTGGCGTGTATTTCTTTATTATTACTCTCTATTGATATTTCCCTCACATGGAAACTGGATAGATCTGATTCTGTCCGCAGTTAAAGAGGGTAATCAGAAATACTGTTAAACTGTTTATTCGCATAGTGGTATTAACCATATGTGGATTCTAAAAAACTCTAAAGATCTTCTGGATAATTTTAAATATCGATCTTTCACTGAAATTAGTTCCACCAAAACTTTTAATTGTTCAACCCTGTATACCACCATTCATCATGTGAAATTGAAAAATCGTCTAAAAGAAATAATCCACAATGCTTTTCAATAAAAAAAAATGGTAGCATACGCTATAAATTTATTACTTTGGGATACCATACGGAATATTTTGTTAATAGTGAACAAAAAGGTAAAACAAGTGATCAGTATGCTGGAGTTTCTTATTGACAACATATTTGTTGAATTTGGAAGTATACTTTTTAAACAGATTGTCGGCATTCGTATGGAAACGAACTGTGCGACTCTCCTTGCCGACCTCTTCTTATTTTCATATGAGTCGGAGTTCCTTCAGACACTTGTCAAAAACAAGAAGACCAAAGAAGCCAGATCATTTAATTTGACATTCAGACATATCGATAATGTTCTTTCCATTTACAATTCAAACTTTTCTGACTGGGATCAATTAATATATCCTCAAGAACTAGAAATTGAAGAAACAACAGACACGGCTTCATCCGCCTCATTTTTAGACTTGTACCTTGAATTTGTCATAAGCGGTCATCTCAGTACCAAAATCAACGTCCTTTTTTCTAAAAAAAGTTCATCGGAAGATACCAAGACCTTGTTGATAAATATTCCGTATCAACTTCACAAATAATACATGATGGTCTTGAAGTATGGATTCTAGATACTGTTTATCATCTTAATTACGTGTTATAGTGCTCTTTTACTTGTTTATGTAAATTATTACCTTTACTGTTTAGTCCATTTTTGGTAATATCCCTTTGGCTTGGCTCGGTACTTATACATCACTTTTGCACTACCGTGGTATTGGGTTGGGGATTTGTCCGTTGTGGTGGGTTGTACATATGTTAGTGACACATCTCTGTTTATCCTGTTAGGGAGTGTTCATGGATACCACTGTACTTTCGCAGCTTTCGAGGAGAGCTCCGAATAGCGAAGGTATCAACACGAACATACATTAACCAGTCATTGTGTTATTGTGCTATGGTCAATTTTTGTATTATTGTCTTCCATTTTGCTTAATATGTGCTTTGTGTATATGCCATTTTGTTTTTCTTTGTTGATATATATGTTTGTTTTTATAGTGATTAAGATTATAACACAATGTTGACTGCTGTGCCCCTATTTTGACATTTTTACCTATTATGTCTGTATGTTTTGTTCACACATTTTTGTCAATATAATGGAATTTTATGCGACTGTCATACTAGTGAGAGGTTTAACTAGCTATAAAACCAGGTTTAATCCACCATTTCTAAATAAGGAAATGCCTGTAGCAAGTCAGGAATATGACAGTTGTTTTCTATTGGTTTGATGTATTTGAGCTTTTGATTTTGCCATTTGATAAGGATCTTTCCGTTTTGAATTTGCCTCGGAGTTCGGTATTTTTGTTATTTTACTTTTTATTGATACAGCAATGTTTCTATAGTAAAAGATGTGATTGATATGTACTCTCTTTGTCGTGTATTTTTTTTGTGACCCTCAATTAATATTTCCTTCACATGGAAACTGGATAGATCTGATAGATACATTAATGATACATGTTGTTCTCTTTTCGTCATCTGTTTGTAGATCATGTTCCCTCACATTGAAACTGAATAGATCTGATAGATACAGTAATGCTGTTGCTGTTTCAGATGTGGCTGGTGGTGTAATCTCTTCGTAATATGCTTGTAGATTTTTACACTCTTATGTAAACTTGATAGATCTGATAGATACGTTCATGGTTGTGTAATCTCTCTCTTTCATGCATTTGTACTATCCTATACATGGAAAATGAATAGATATTTTCTGGTGTGATGATTGTGTTATCTTTCTCTATCATGTGTTTGTAGATTCTGCTCCCCCACATGGATACTGGGTAGGACTGACAGATGTCGTCATACAAAATGAATGGACATGGATTGAAAGTGGGAGAGAATTGTCCAACATGTATAGTCATTGGGTGAAAGGACAACCAGATTTCCGTCAGAGTGAAAACTGTGGAATACTTTGGTACAGTACTGGATTCACATGGCATGATGACTTCTGTTCGGACAAGCTAGCCTTCTTCATCTGTGAAAAAGTGTACGTATGAATAACAAAACATTAATTAATTTTCCCTACACAACGTTCTGTTGTAAGTATACATTAACAGTATTTTTATGAAACATAATGCATATCATCTGAACGAACTTTTAACACAATGCTGACTGCTGTACCCCTATTTTTGACATTTTTAGCTATTATGTCTGTTTGTTTTGTTCACACATTGTTGTCAATATAATGAAATTTTATGCGACTGTCATACAAGTGCGAGGTTTAGCTAGCTATGAAACCAGGTTTAATCCACCATTTTCTACATGAGGAAATGCCTGTACCAGGCCAGGAATATGACAGTTGTTTTCCTTTCGTTTGATGTGTTTGAGCTTTTAATTTTGCCATTTGAGAAGGGACTTTCCGATTTGAATTTTCATTGGAGTTCGGTATTTTTGTTATTTTTTTTTTTATTAGTGTGTGCCTAAAATATTCATTATATAAATGTATTTAGATCAGCAATGGCATTTACATTCACTAAATTTGAATTGTACCTATCTGGGGGACCATTTCATCATACCTTTCAGTTTTTCAGTACAAATGTTTCCTAATGAAAAGTGTGATGAAGGAGCAGATTTTATATAAGTTACATAATTTCTTCATGAAACATTTACTCATTCTTTTAAAAACTGCACTTCTTTCTTTCTTTCATTCGTAAATAAATAAGATGATAAACATGAAAATAAAGAGAGGTGGGATGATTGTTTATAAGACAACTATCCACCAAAATTCAAATGAAGTTGATGTAAGCAATTACAGGACACCGTATGGCTTCCAACAATGAGAAAAAGCCATACCGTAAAGGCGGCTGTAAAGGGCAAGAAGAAGTACACTTAACAACAAAATTATTTTTATTTACCTGTGTATAATATGACGCAGGTTTTTTCAAAAGTGATGATTTTTCTAAATATTGTTTAACATTTTACAGTGGTATCATACTTTAACTTTGTTTCAACCTGTTTATTTACTTTTGACCTTAGTTATTTATCCCTTATAATTTATTTTAACTATGTATTTGCATTCAGGTATTACAGATCAAAGTTATTCGTTCATTTTGTGTTAATTTACGTTTTTTGATTGAGTTAAGCCTTCCAATTGATATTTTATAGTGTGTCTTTCTATGTTGTGATGTTATACTATTGTTTCAAAAAAAGGGAGAAGGTTTGGTACCATTAAAACGTTTAATCCCGCTGCAAATGTTTGCACCTGTCCTAAGTCAGGAATCTGATGCACAGTAGTTGTCGTCTGTTTATGTAGTTCAAACGTGTTTCTCGTTTCTCGTTTTTATATAGATTAGATCGTTGGATTTCCCGTTTGAATGGTTTTACACTAGTAATTTTTTGGGGCCCTTTATAGCTTGCTGTTCGGTGTGAGCCAATGCTCCGTGTTGAAGGCCGTACTTTGACCTATAATGGTTTACTTTTATAAATTGTTACTTGGATGAAGAGTTGTCTCATTGGCACTCATACCACATCTTCCTATATCTATGAAAATCTTAATCAATTCAAAGGAATAAACTCACAATCTAATTTATAACAAAACAGTTTACGAAAAACAAATATAACAGACATGATCAACGACACCACTGAACTACAGGCTCCTCACTTGGGAGAGGCACATAAAGAATGTGGCTGGGTTTACCATGTTTGTGAACGCTCAACCCTCCCCTAACCTGAGACATTAATGTAACAGCACAACATAGGAACAAACTGTAAAAATCAGTTGCAATTAGCTTAACTGAAAAAATCGGTACTCACATAAAACGATAGACACAAAGTACCGAATTAAGAGTACTCGCATTTACTGAAAGCTATTTCAAAGCCAAAAAACTAAATACAGAAGGATCAATCTATAAGTAAACTTATTAGTCCTTTTTATAAACTTCTTTTGACAGCATATCAAACTCACATTGTAGTCATTTCTTTCAATATTGTCGTTAATGGTACTGTTTTTGTAGACTGCATATGGCGTATTTTCGCTAAATCTGTTTGACATGTACAGATTGATATTTAAGACAGTTTAAACATCACTGGTAAACATAGTTTATTTGTTTATTGAAACTTAACTTTGAACAGTTTCTTTGAATACTCTTATTTTTCGGTATCTAGTATCTTTTGTCAAACTGTTAGTTGATATTTGTGATAAGTAACTGTCTAGTACGTCAAACCCTTTCCAACTTATTTTTACAGTTTGTTTTATTGTGTCCAGGTACAGTACTGTGTCGTTAAAGGTGATGCCATTAATCGGAAGTTATATGCTATACAAAGTAGGAAAACCTAGTTATCTCCCTTTGTTAACATTGATAAATCAATTCCTCTGAAACTTTGATTTATCCGTTCCGCATCAGAACATGAGACGAAAGCACCATGTGACAAGGTTTTCATTTGGTGGAAATTTTCCGCAACGTTTCTTCTCTATGATGAAATTTCCAACTATTCGATTGGTTAATTCATGACACAACTTCAATCCACATTTCAAATGACCATAACACATAACGTTAAAACAAGAGAATCATACACCTTACATACCCAGCCGAGAAATTCCGAAAATTACTTTCGGTCACACATGCGCCATATTTATTTCTGGTCTTGCGACGACATTAGGAATCAAATTCCGCAATTCACCCCCTCAAAAACGACTTGAAAACCACCTCTATACTACTCACATTATACGAGGTATATATACATGTCATTCTACCCGGACACATCATTAGAGGTATATATGCATGATAGTTAAACTTTATATAGATGAACGAGATATATATATATATATATATACAAAAAAAAGTTTCTTTTCAAGCGGTGTACAGAATTATATATTAAAAATTAAATACACAAAAAGAGTTTTAAAAGCAGCATTGTCTAGCGCTTTCATCCATCTTGGGACTTTTCAAGACTATGAACGTCGCTATGGGGAACACAATGCTGCTTTTAAAACTCTTTTTGTGTATTTAATTTTTAATATATATATATATATATATATATATATATATATCTATATATATATATAAACAAGTCTAAATTGAAAACAACGTTCAAACCTATGATTGCGTTGGATAAAAACCGCAATTTTCATACGTATGCATGCAAAACAAATTTCTTGAAAGAGGGGTCTAAATACAGCACAAACAACATTTTCCAAAAGACCAAAAAAGTGAAAAAGTATATTTTAACAAAACGCATTTGACTAACAGGTCGAACAACAGATGTTTTTAAACCCTGCTGACTGCCATTGGCGATTGCCAAATAAACGGATCACAAGATGTTACAAAATGGATCTTTTAAAATTTATAAATTTAATACCAAACAGAAAACAATAAACTTGCGGAAAAGATAGTATACCGCAAACAAAAGGTGCAAAAATTAGTACACCAAATCTGGATTTCGACAATTAATGCCTCTTCAGTGATGTTAGGGATCGAAACAGTATTTGGAAGGCCATAAAATTTACCTCAATTTAGGATAGACTCTTGAATTTTAAAGAGTCGAAATAGGATGAACGGATCATATAAACCCGAAGGAAAATATAATACAAGCCCAAACGAAAAAATATAAACAAGTCTAAATTGAAAACAATGTTCAAACCTATGATTGCGTTGGATAAAAACCGCAATTTGTATACGTGTGCATGCAAAACAAATTTCTTGATAGAGGGGTCTAAATACAGCACAAACAACATTTTCCAAAAGACCAAAAAAGTGAAAAAGTATATTTTAACAAAACGCATTTGACTAACAGGTCGAACAACAGATGTTCTTAAACCCTGCTGACTGCCATTGGCGATTGCCAAATAAACGGATCACAAGATGTTACAAAATGGATCTTTTAAAATTTATAAATTTAATACCAAACAGAAAACAATAATCTTGCGGAAAAGATAGTATACCGCAAACAAAAGGTGCAAAAATTAGTACACCAAATCCGGATTTCGACAATTAATGTCTCTTCAGTGATGTTAGGGATCGAAACAGTATTTGGAAGGCCATAAAATTTACCTCAATTTAGGATAGACTCTTGAATTTTAAAGAGTCGAAATAGGATGAACGGATCATATAAACCCGAAGGAAAATATAATACAAGCCCAAACGAAAAAATATAAACAAGTCTAAATTGAAAACAATGTTCAAACCTATGATTGCGTTGGATAAAAACCGCAATTTGTATACGTGTGCATGCAAAACAAATTTCTTGATAGAGGGGTCTAAATACAGCACAAACAACATTTTCCAAAAGACCAAAAAAGTGAAAAAGTATATTTTAACAAAACGCATTTGACTAACAGGTCGAACAACAGATGTTCTTAAACCCTGCTGACTGCCATTGGCGATTGCCAAATAAACGGATCACAAGATGTTACAAAATGGATCTTTTAAAATTTATAAATTTAATACCAAACAGAAAACAATAAACTTGCGGAAAAGATAGTATACCGCAAACAAAAGGTGCAAAAATTAGTACACCAAATCTGGATTTCGACAATTAATGCCTCTTCAGTGATGTTAGGGATCGAAACAGTATTTGGAAGGCCATAAAATTTACCTCAATTTAGGATAGACTCTTGAATTTTAAAGAGTCGAAATAGGATGAACGGATCATATAAACCCGAAGGAAAATATAATACAAGCCCAAACGAAAAAATATAAACAAGTCTAAATTGAAAACAATGTTCAAACCTATGATTGCGTTGGATAAAAACCGCAATTTGTATACGTGTGCATGCAAAACAAATTTCTTGATAGAGGGGTCTAAATACAGCACAAACAACATTTTCCAAAAGACCAAAAAAGTGAAAAAGTATATTTTAACAAAACGCATTTGACTAACAGGTCGAACAACAGATGTTCTTAAACCCTGCTGACTGCCATTGGCGATTGCCAAATAAACGGATCACAAGATGTTACAAAATGGATCTTTTAAAATTTATAAATTTAATACCAAACAGAAAACAATAATCTTGCGGAAAAGATAGTATACCGCAAACAAAAGGTGCAA